CTTTACGGGAGTAGAAAGCCTCATCTTTCTCCCACGGAGCGGCTGGTAGTTTCGAACCGCTGACCTTAAGGTTCGCAGCCCAATTCGTAACCACTTAACAATAACAGCAATCCTATTATGAATGGCTTAGTTCATTCAGCAAGATGTTAACACTCTTCCAAGGTTGCTTTTGTTGGTGGTGGTGGTAACTTCCATGTAGCTGGTTACAACTCATAGCTACCCTGTATAGGAGTTTCAAGGAACACCTGGGGGATTTGAACCACCTAAATTATGCTTAGCAGTCCAGTGCTTCTCTACTGTGCTACACCAGGATTTCCAAGGTAATTGTTGTTGTTAGGTACCATCGAGTCGGCACCAATTTGCAGCAACCTTATGCACAGCAGACGGAAACACTGCCCGATCCTGGGCCAACCGCACTACTGTTGACACACTTGAGTCCATTGATGCCACCACCTGGACAATCCATCTTGTTGGGAGTCTTCCTCTTTTTCTCTGACCCTCTACCTTACCAAACATTATATTCTTTTCCAGTGACTCCTCTTGACAATATATCCAAAGTATGAGAGACGAAGTTTGGCCATCTTGGCCTCCAAGGAGCACTCTGGCCGCACTTCTTCCAAAATAGATCTATTGGTTCTTTTGGAAGCCCATGGCACTTTGAATATTCTCCACCACCATAACTCAAAAGCATCAATTCTTCTATGGTCTTCCTTATTCACTGTCCAGCTTTCGCATGCTAATGAGGTTAATGAAAATACCATGCTTTGGGTCAGGTGCACCTTAGTCCTCAAGCTGACATCTTTGCTCATCAACACTTTAAAAAGGACTTGTGTAGCAGATTTGCCTAATGCAATACGTCATTTGATCTCTTGACTGCTACTTCCATGAGTGTTGTTAGTTGATCCAAGAAGAATGAAGTCCTTGACAACGTCAATCTTTTCTCCATTGATAAAAATGTTGTTTATTGTTCCAGTGGTGAGGATTTTTGTTTTCTTTACATTGAGAAGTAATCCATACTGAAGGCTGTATTCTTTGATCTTCATCTGTAAATGTTTTAAGTCCTCTT